ATATATATATATATATATATATATATATATATATAGTAACGACGGTCGTATGTATTATGAGCTATTTCACATTTCGTATTCCTGTAATCTTGGAATGATGTTGATCGACATGTCGTGTGCAAGATACGGTGTTCATTTTCCCGGCATTTTGTTCCATCTTTTATCGTTTTGTTTTTCTTTTTCTTTCTTATCCTTTTTTTTCATCATTTCGTCTTATTTTTTTTTTTTTTTAATTATCTGTTTACCGATAAATGAAATTTGCGAATGGTTCAAAGAAAATAGAAACCGTGATTTTAGAGCCATGCCTATTAACCATTCGATACTCACGTGTCAGTTAACGAAAATTAACATAAATTTGGTTAATAACATTTTTTTAGGTTCGGCACAATCCATAGAGCTTCGAGCATTCCAACCCTGACTGGTGTCGGCACACCGATCAGGTAAACTGAATTAACGATTATCGGATCGTCGATGAAATTTGACGATTGGCTTTAGCTTCATTTGTCACGTGGTATATGGTGCTATATTAAGGTGGACTGTTTCAATTATGGTGTAATGTACATATCTTTGTATCATCTAACCACTCTTCCAAATTCATATTTCTATTATGCAGACAATGCTCGCGGCGATGGTGGAGTTGATTTCATTGTTTTTATTTTCTGTTGGATTTTCCATTCTCTCGGTTTAATTACTCGAGCTCCTGTTCCCAATTTGTCTTAAGGAAGAATTTGTCAGGGAAGCTGAAATGATAGGTACTCCGCGTATGATAAAGTTGATTAATTGATTGGTGATGGTTTAGCCGCTCAAGGATTCCCGTGTATGTGGGCACAGATATAAAATCCCCACAATCGACGACCAGCAATATTTCTACTCATTCTACGCAAAGCAACTATTCGACGGTTTCTACCGATTCCACCGGGTATGGCCAAACTGTTTCCCGCTCTAATTAACATCGTCACGTCCTTTCTGTTTTTCTCTTTCTACTACACTGAATGTCATTTGCATGCGCACTGGAGTATCGTTTTCGTTCTCTGTTTCTGTTCTCTATGTCCTTTCGAGATTCTTCGTTACTTTGCTATCGCTTCTATTGGAATCGAGTCTATGATAGAAACTCTCAATGAATGCAATCGTTCAACGGAAAGATGGATATTTGACGATGAACAATTACATTCAGATAAAAATTTACTTAGCATCGTACGTTTGCTTTTGATCATACAATTAGTTCGTTTGGTTTATAGCTTCGCCCATATTAACGGCCGTGTTTCACTGTGCACCGCTTTAGATCTATTTAATAATCTAGTATCGTGTTTGTTTTTTAACACTATAGGAGCAGCTCGATGTGTACAAATTCAGCAACTAACACCTCATCGGCCGTTAAGCGAGCTAGGTAATCATCGTTTCGGTCTGATTCGGTTTACATATAATTTGTTTTGTCGCTTGTATCATTATGATCACGCGTAACGTCCTGAGAAAACCTAGATGGACAATAATGGGTAGTTAATACGTACCTGATCGACCAAGCTGCGTATTGTTTTGTTCGCATAATCGATCGTTTCGAACGATTTCGATTGACGAATCGATCGTATTCGACGTGGGCCACAAAAATGAATACAATGTAACATAAATTGCTGATTTTCTATAGAACAAGGACACCGTCCAGCGGGTCGAGCACTCCACTGCCGCCATCCTTGAAGCTATCTAGGAAACCTTCCGGAGCATCGGACACGTCCGTGTCGACGACACCAGCCAGCAAACGAAAAGGCAAACCAACACCGATCGACCAACGGGCGCCATTCCGATTGTAGTCACCATATATCATCTCATAGTCACTAAAAGGCCAAACACGTTTGAGAAACTGCGGTCGTTAACGATCAATCAAGTTGACGACACATCGACGTTTAGGATATTCTAATATATAGTAACGATTCGAACGCGCGAGGCCGCCATCTGTTCGGAAAATTGTTCGTATCGTTGTTAGCTACCATTGCTTCGGATAATTAACGCGAATGTTCGTTACCACAGTTCGTGTGATGATGATCATCGTGAATCGTGGCTGCTCCTCTCGGGGACGTTCGAATCGAGTAAAAGAGCTTAATATTATCGAAATATTTTGTAAAAAGAAAAAGAAAAAGAAATGAAACGCATAGAAATGCAAAATGATAAAATAGACGCGATTAAAAGCGATCTAAAAAGAAAAATAAATTATCATGGAAATTAACATCGATTGTACGTATAGAAAACCATACGTATGAGCTAGATGTTAGTTCCGTTGCCGAGCGTACTGATTAATTCTTTCGTACTAAGTTTTCTTTACTGAGAATAGTGATAACGATCATTATTAATGTAATTGTAATTTTACGTTATCCATAGGACTAGGTTTTTACCGGTCAAGTAATATATGAACAACGTTTCATGTTTTGAAGAGAAAAAAACATTCGTCACCGCGGTGTATGCGTATTCAAGGATCGCGATACTCGATGATACGGCGTACGACAGATACCGCGTTGCTGACTTGATCAATTCGGTCCATTTTTTTTTTTTTGTTGTTGTTTCGTTTTCTTTCGATCATCGCGTTTTTATTTCTTTTTTTTTTATCGTTTTTCTTTGTCTCTTATTTACTGGTGGAGAAAGGGCCCTACGGAAAGAGCAACGAAATCGAAACAATGCCAAGAGATAATAGTAGACGCGAGATATAATGTACATATTGCTCGATTCTCCGGGTCGGTGTCGTACCGGGAACCACTCCGCGAATAAGACAATTTCCTAAAAAAGAAAAGACAAAAATTACGCTACACGCAACGATTGCCTTAGGTCTATCGCCGTAAACCGCTTCTGCGCGAATCGTACCTGCCTATCCCGTAATGAACCGACGCACGGATGAACCGAACGGGCCCTTACAAGTGTCGGCCAAGCGAACGGAGAACACGTTTAATATCGAAATCATAACCGCTTCGTCCAAAATAAAAATAAAAAAGAAAGAAATATAAGAAGAACGGTGAACACCCGTTTTATACCTGTCGGGCTTTACAAACCATGTGTATCCATTTTGCGAAAGGCATTTCCGAGCGTTTTTCCCCTCTTTTCTCTCCTTCTTTTTTTACGTTTTAGAATGCGATAATTAATACGCGAGATAGCACGATTCGTACAATGATGCGATTAATCTATTAACTATTCTTAAATGTTAATCTCTGTTTTCG